TGGAATTTATTTTTAAAACATTATTGAATATTTCAATAATATTCCAATAAAAATTTTTCACAACATTCCATTGTGAAATATACCTATAATATTCCAAAGGAATTTTAGGACAATATTCCAAATTCCTATAATATTTAAAATAATTTTTCCCACAACATTTCATATTAATATTCCTACTATATTAAAATGGAATATTTCTCTAATATTACATTGGAATATTTTTACAATATTCCTTTGGAATATTTCTGAAATACATATTCCAATGGTCAAAAATAATTATTTTCATTTTTTTATGGAATAATGTGGCAGTGAAGAAAATTGAAAAAGAAAAAAAAATTCATAACGTGTGCCTAGTAAAATGAACGATGAACACTTGTTTGTATGTATATTTTCTACGTGAAAAACATTGGACGATATAGTATATTCTACCGTGACCCACTGGCATACAAATGTTCACACTAAACGTCTTCTATATATCCATGAGTGATACATAACTCACTTAACAATTCCTTTTCCTTTTAGAAACAAAAAAAAAATAAAATATATCAATATCAACATTAATCACACTATTATATTTTAAACAAATCATTTTTAAAATCACTGTCAACTATTGAAATTAAAAGAAAAAAAAAATAGTTATTAGTCAAAAATGAAACTGAAAATTAATTGGTTAATAATTTTTTACCTTACCGATATATTTTTTAGTTTATTTTTATTTATTTGAATAAAAAAATATATTATAAAAAATAGGCAAAAAGTATTTCTTTTTTTTCTTTTTGATATAATTAATATAAAAATATGTGTAATTAATAAAAAATTCAATTAATTTATATTAAAAAATGAATTATTAATGAAATAATTTCTTTCTTTTTTTTACGAGATTAGGGCAAAAAAAAAAAATTCGATTTTTTTTTATACCTGTATATATTTATCAATACCGCTACACTTTCACCGCAATGTCATCAATGTGATTTTTCAATTCCAGAAGAATCTTGTCAGGTATATATATAAGTGACGAAAGAAAACGTGACGTCATGAGGAAATGATTACAATTGAATCTCATTTGAATTAATTAAACACAATGAACTACGCGCTCAACATTTCTGTTTATTTTTTTTTTATTATTATCTTTGTTTTGTTTTCATTTTATTAATTTCTATCTAAATTATTATTAATTATTACATTCTACAGTGAAAGTAAAGAAAATTCTCAAAAAAAAAAAAAATTGTAAACATTTCATATTTGTTTGTTAATAATTTATTAATTAATTTGTTATTTTATTATTATTTATTATTAGTTATTATTTATATTTATATTAAAATGTAGGTAATAACATAATAATAATAATAATTTATATTTATTATTTTTTTTAATTATTATTTTTGATTATTATTAATAATTTCAATAAAAATTATTTAATTAATCGAAAATTTAATGTAAAAGAAATTTGCATGTATTTTCATAAAAAAATAAAAAAAAATCGAAAAAAAGAAAGGAGAAAACAAATTATATTTGTATACTATAGAGAAAACCTTAACACGCCGTAGGGTAATTTCGATCTGGATATATAATGTAGTTTTTGAAATAATATTTTAAATTAAATGAGCAAAAAAAAATTTTTTCTTTAATAAAAAAAATAGTGAAAAAAAAATTCAGAAATGTAATTACAATTTTTTCCAAAAGAATTTTTTTTTTTCTTTTTTTGAAAACGGAATTATGATGCTTGAGATCGTGAAGTTAACAGTCGATCATGTCAGTGAAAGAATTCACATTATAATCTGTTCTCTACGTCAAGAAAAAAAGGAAAAAAAAAAAAAAAAAAATGATGCCCTGAGCCTTTCAATTAAAATCGCATTAGGAATCTTGGCATATCGTGATATTATCGTTTATATTGACCGGAACTTCTATATAACATCGTATCTCTCAAGATCATATTTCATGGTTTAAAAGCGCTGATTCAAATTCTCATATATAGCGGTGAAATCTACCTACATTACTGTATAAATTTTTCCAACTAATTTTCCAACTTATTATAGCAATTATGTTTTTTTTTTTAAATTAACTTTTCATTTGCAAACATTTTCTTTTTTATTTCCGTTATTACTAGTGTTATATTATTTACTGTATAATTAATTTTTTCAAAAAAAAATTTTTTTTTCAAATTATAATAATTATTTGGATAATTTGGATTTACAATTTTATTTCTCTATTGCCATTAATCGGAGGAATTAATTTTTTAATAATAATTATAATAATAATTATAATAATCATAATATATAATAATAACATTACTATTAATAATTGATTATTGTTAATTAAAAATAATTATTTGGTTAAATTTTATTATTATTTGCAAAATAATTATTATACATTGTTAATATATCTCGAAATATTAATCGATATATCATAGTAACAATCGATATATCGTAATAGCAATCGATATATCAAACTATCAATCAATATATCGAATTATCAATCCATAAATCGTATTAATAATCGATACATCGTAATAACAATCGATATATCGAATTATCGCTCGATGCATCGTTGTAACAATCGATATATCGAATTATCAATTAATATATCGAAGATACAATCGATTTAACGAAAAAATAATCGAATTATCACTCGATTCAATGAAATAACAATCGATACATCGCAGTAATAATCGATATATCGAATTGTCGCTCGATGCATCGTTGTAACAATCGATATATCGAATTATCAATTAATATATCGAAGATACAATCGATTTAACGAAAAAATAATCGAATTATCACTCGATTCAATGAAATAACAATCGATACATCGCAGTAATAATCGATATATCGAAATAACAATCGATACATCGTAGTAATAATCGATATATCGAAGTACCAATCGATAAATCGAATAATTAACAATTGCAAAAAATAAATTGCAATGTAGAGAAATAAAATCGAAAATTTCAATTCGCTATTAAATTTTGAGCGAACGTAACGTCACATATATATATATATATGTGAAAAGTCAAACGTGACAGTAGAACAAACTTTATGTGGTCAGACACGGAGGATACGCAAACAAATCATCAAGAATTGATTTTTCTACTAATGAATAAAAAATCAATGAAAATATTCTGAAATTTTTATTAACAAAATAATAATTAAATAAATTAATTAAATTTCAAATGTAATTATTTATAATAATTTATAATTATATTTATAATTCGTAAATTATTTATTTTTTATTTATTTATATTTATAATAATAAGAATTATAATAATAATAATAGATTTGTTTTGTTTTTTTTATAAAAAAAATTAATTTTAAATTTTATTTTCGCTTATTAAACAAATTAATTATTTATTTAATTTTCGCATAAAAGATGAAAATTTAAGTTTAATTTACACATTATTATCGCTACGAGTAAAATAATGTACTATACAATTAGAGGCACTTGTTTCTTTTTTTTTTTTTTTTTTTTTTTTTTCTTTAGTATTAAAATTCGACGGAAATCCGGCGTCAATTTTTTTTTCCTTTTTAAAATTTATCCGCGCGCATTATCCATTTATTTTCTCACTCCCGTGAATCGATTAGTGACATTAATTTCCTACCTGTAATAAGATATACTTTCTTCGAAAATTGTAATTTTCACCTCGAACATATAAAAATGTGTGATTAATTAAAATTTCACTATTTAGAAAATATAAATAATAATTAAATTTAAAAAAATATATACAAACAAATTATTCAATCTTACAATAATTGAATTCAATTTAATAGAACAGATTTAATTAATTTATTCATTTAAATTATTAAAAAAAAAAAAAATTTATAAGAAATTAATTATGAAAAATAATTTACAAAAGATTAAGAAAATGTCATTCGACAAATTTTAATGAATTTTTTTTTTGTAAATAATTAAAAAATAAAGAAAAAAAAAAATTTATTTCGAAAAATTGTTTTCCCTCTCTCTCAAAAAAAAAATTAATTACAAAAATGAGTCATTTCTCTATTAATGTCTTGTGATGATAACCAATTAAGCCTAGAATATATATATATATATATCTGAGAAACACCTTTAATTAAGTAGTCAACTAGTTCCTTGATAGTAACATTTTACAGTTACATTCGCTAATGAATTGTACACCTGTTTTTCATTCAATGTAATTTAACATAACAATTTTATTTGCAATTTCAAACCTTGTTTTATAAATATCAATAATAATTAAATATTATTTATTCATTCTAAGCATATTATACTAATTTTATATTTATTAAATGTTTACTGATAATTAGTTAATTTTTAAATCATATCTAATTTATTATTTATTCGCGTGATTTTTTTTTTTATTTTTTTTACTAATAATTAAGTTTTTTTTTTATTTACCAATAACAAAATTATTATTTTATTACTTATTATTTACTTTATTATTTGTTAAATTTTTAATTTATTTATTTTTTTACTAATTTCCTAATTATTAATTTTTAACCAATCTCCTGATTATATTAATTGGTATTATTATTATTATTATTATTATTTTAGTAATTATTGATTATTTAATTAATTATTTTATTATTAATAATAATTATTATTAAGTAAAATAATTACAAGTAGTGAAATAATTATATTCTCGTTTTGCTTAAAGAAATCCTAGTTTCTGAGATGATATTTTAAAATGGACAAAATGGAATTATATTGGAATTTTGTCAAAAAATAAATTCCAAACACATGTAAATATCATGTATGGTAGAAATAAATTGACTCATTAATCGAATGAAGGGAAATCACCTTTGTCATACATAATTACTTTGGCACGTGCCAGAGTCGTAAATTAAAATATATACGTATATATGAAGGATTACGCAATCCCTATAAGAGGCGCCAGTCATTTTTTTTTTTTTTCTAATCCTATTGTCAAAATATTATAACCATTAAAGTGTTCGTTTTTATTATGTAATTATAATTTATTCGATAAAAAAATTTATTTTAACTTTTTTTTTTAATAATTTTTGCAGATGGCGAGGCTCGGTTTATAAGCTCATATGGCGAGAACTTCTCGTTTATCTTTTTGTTTATTACATCATCAACTTTACCTACAGATATGCTCTCAACGAGGAACAACAACGGTAAGTTTAAAAAAAGAAATTTTTTTTGATTATTTAAAATTTAATTTTAATTATTTATCAATTACTAGTTTCATTGTAATTAATTAATTAATTATTTTGTTAAAATTTATTAAACGAATTAATGATAATAATTAATTAATCAAATAATTAATAATAATGAATTAATTTTTATTAATTAATTAAATAATTATTATTAACTAATTTAATAATTAACCAGAATAATTAATTGAATAATTAATTATTATAATAATAATTAACGGAATAATTAATTATTATGAATTAATTGAAGATTATTTTATAAAATTTTGTCTATTTGCTAAATGAACTTTTTTTTCAATGGCATTGTCATAAATAATATAGAAGAACGAATTTTAAAATTAAAAAGAAAAAAAAAACTGATACGATATATTTAATATGTTTCTTATCATGTAGAATGACAATAAATGATTGGAAAAAGAATCGACAAATACAGCTTTGAATATATATATATATATATATATATATATATATATATATATATATATATATATATATATAGCCAAAGAGCTTTGTAAGTTTCACCTCGAATAAAAATTCTCGTAAAAATTCAATTGTATTTCAAGTGCGTAAAATAAATTTTTTTTTACCATTCTAAACCTTGGCCTAACTTTAATTTCAATATATTTTTTTTCTCTGTTTTTAAACTTATCTTTATAAATGCCAAATTAATATTTTATTTAAGGGTGGAAAACCAATTTTTAAATTATAATAATTAAAAGAAAATTAATTTTGTTTTTTAAATTTATAATAATAATAATTAATTAATAGTAATAATAATAATTAATAATTATAATTTTAAATAAATAAAAATTGGTTTTTTTTTTTTGTTGAAATTATTAACAATGGAAGTGAATTATTAAAGATTTTTGTAAAAATAAATAAATATTACTTTTCAGGAAGAAGTACAATTTGAAAAAAATTAAGTTATAATAAGATGATTAAACTATAAAGGAATTTAAATATTTATGAAGATGTTTCGAGATTTTGCCTAGAAATCTTATTCATATACCAGTGTAACATCTCATTTTCCAAAGATTAAAAATCATTTAGTTATTAGCTAATTAATTTACATTATTAATTTTTCTATAATAACGGATATTAAAATAATTTTTTTTCTATTTTTTATTATTCATAAATATTTTTATGGCAGAAAGTAAAAACAAAAGAAAAAAAAAATTACAAAAATATAAATAAATTTTTAATTTACAACTATAGCAAAAAATTCCAATTTAGTACATTAACCTTGAAATAAAAGCAAATTTTGTTAAATGACATTTTGATTATGAAATGTTGCTATTAATAAATTTTTCGACAATTGTATTTCGACCATTGAATTACACAATTGGAGAAAAAATTTTTTTCATTACAAATTATTATAATAACTATTTTTTTTCACTCAAAACTAAAATATACTTTTTTTTTATCCTATATAAATGCATGATGAGAGCGACATCCTAACGTTATAACCTTGTTCCACATATGAACGAATTCTCTGTGTTTTGTCGAATAGCGAATCGTTGAATTGCATCACAATAATTGATATAAATTTATATGTCGATCTTTCTGGTTATTTAATTGCATAAAAATCATTATAAACCTTTCAAAAATTAAAAAAAAAAAAAAAATTATTTGCTAATTTAAAATAAAATTCTAAATCTATTCTGTTTTATTTTTTCATTAAAAAAAAAAAAAAAATTGAAATACAATTTTTTTTCACTCGACTTTTGTAAATTATTATAATCGGTATTTATTATTATATTTATTTAGTATATTTTATTTTAAAAAAAAATTTAAAAAAAAAATTAAATAAAAAATTGAAATTATTAACAATAAATTTTAAAAAAGTAAAATAAAAAATAATTAATAAATAAAAAATAAATAAATAAGTAATTAAATAACTAAAAATAAGTAAATGGATAAATAAATAAATAAATTGGGATAAACAATTTTTCGTCACGATTTCAAGTTGAATGGAATAATGAATTTTTTTAAAAAACTTCTTTTTTCTCTATTTTTTTTTTTTTAATTTTTAAACACGTTCTTTTAATTAATGCATGTCAGTCATGTCAGTGCGAAAATAAAAATTGCCCCATATATTGTAATTTATAAACGTCCTAGCCCTACATTTCTCGTTTTATTGTGGCAATTATGTATACCAAAAAAAAAACCCGTTTTTTTGTTTCAGCTAAAAATTTACACAAAAATAATAAACTATTTTTTTTTTTATTCAAGGGTTTTCGAGAAGATTCGTTATTATTTCGCAAATTCAAGCGATTCAATACCAATGTCTTTTGTTCTTGGATTTTACGTATCGCTTGTGGTCAAAAGATGGTGGGAACAATATAAACTTCTACCATGGCCCGATAATCTTGCACTTTTTATCAGTGCCGCCATTCCAGGAAATGTAAGTCATTTTTTTTTTTAATTCAAATTTTTTTCACATTGCAAATTTTTTCCAAAAAAAAGGTGATTTTCAAAGTTTTTTTTTCGCTTTTTCATAGAAAATTAATTCAGTGAAAATTTTTTTCTTTTTTTTCACTAAAAATTTTTTCAAAAAAATTATTTTGAAAATTTTTTGGTTTTTTTCACTGCAAAATTTTTCAAAAAAAAAAAAAAAATTAATTTGGAATTTTTTTTTATTTTTCATAGAAAATTAATTGTTCCTTCGTTTTATTAAAAAAAAAAAAAATCCATACAAGAAACCAAAAAAAAAATTATTATATTCTACAAAAAAATTACGTTTTAGAATTTTTTTTTGTTTCAATTTATATTTTAATTAATTTTAATTTATTCATAATATTAATAATAAATTATTAATTTAATTACACGTAATTTAAATAATAAATATAATTAAATATTTTTATTTTTCCAAATAAACGAAGGTATACGATAATTTTAAAAACAAAAATAAAAAGTGCAAATTGAAAAAAAAAAAAATGCAAAAGAAAAAAATTGTCAGTCTTATTTTTTTTTTTTTTCGACAGAGAGACATTTATTTATAAATTACATAATTTGCATGACTTTTGCGATGTTTGAATTTATTTAAATTGAAGAACGTAATTCTTATGTATAATATTATCAAGCAATTATTTTTTCAGTAACAAAACATAAAAGAGAAGGTAAATGTTTAATTAACTCGTAAAAATAATAATTCGTGAAAAAAAAACGATAATTGGAAAATTCCCTTCTTTTTTTTGTTTTAAAATTATAATTATCACTTGGAAAAATAGCGTGTTCATGTCAAAGCGTATATTCAAAACTTATATTTACTTTTGATCAGCTCTTAAATTACTTTTGTAATTGTACACCAATTCACAAAAGTTGTTTATATTTTAAAACAATAAAATTTTTAGATTTTCATCTTTTTCCCAAAAAGAAAAAAAAAATTAATTTCTTTAACTTTTTGAGGTAATTTTCTTTTTTTTTGTTCTTTAATGATCTCTTATTAAAAATATTTTTTTATTTTAATTTATTTTTATTTTACACTATTATATAATTAATTATTATTATTATTATTATTATTATTATTATTATTATTATTATTATTATTATTATTATTATTATCAGTATTATTATTATTATTATTATTATTATTATTATTATTATTATTATTATTATTATTATTATTATTATTATTATTATTATTATTATTATTATTATTATTATTATTATTATTATTATTATTATTATTATTATTATTATTATTATTATTATTATTATTATTATTATTATTATTAGTATTATTATTTTTATTATTATTATTATTATTTATAATTATTGTTATTATTATATTATTATTTTTGAAATATTTTTTGTTTTATTTTAATTTTATAAAAAAAAGAAAAAGAAATTAAAAAAAAAAAAAAATTGGAAGGAAATTTTCGCTCATTTGCACGATTTTTCGTGTTTCTCGTGAGAAATATTGAAAATTATTTTGAGACTGATTAGTGCGATGGATTCTAGAGACGTTAATAATTGATGCAGCCTTTAAATCCGAACATAAGGTAGTTGCTGCTCGTAAATCATTACGCTAATGAATCACCATGACACATTTTGATGTCGTTAACCTATACATATATAAGTTGTTACCAGTCTAGTGCATTTATACATGCCACACCCAACAAAAAATTGGAACGATCATCCAGTATAATCGGTCCTTCACATTTACTCTACAAAAAAAAAAAACAAAAAAAAAAATGTTTTTAACAAAATACACTCTCGATTTATGTTCACAATTTTTCATTCAAGAAAATTCTTCTTCTAATTATCAAAAAATCATCAATAAAATCGAAAAAAAAGGATTTTTTCAAAAATATTTAATTAATTAATTTTTTTCAACAATTTAAAATAAAATTTAGCAGAAATTCAAATTTAGTTAAATTCAGCTTAAAAATTATCTTAGTAACTTATCCCTTTTTTGAATTAAACAAAAATTTTGTTTGGTTCAAAAAAATAATAAATAAAAATAAAATAAAAAATATTCAAATTTAGTTAAATTCAGCTAAAAAATTGTCTTAGTATAACCTATCCCTTTTTTTTTGAATTAAACAACAATTTTTTTTGGTTCAAAAAAATAAAAAATAAAAATAAAAATAAAATAAAAAATATTCAAATTTAATTAAATTCAGCTGAAAAATTATCTTACAATTAGTATAACTTATCCCTTTTTTTTAATTAAACAAAAATTTCGTTCGGTTCAAAAATAATTTTTTTTTTTTTTGTTATTAAATAACAATTTCTCTGGTTCAAAGATATTTTTTTCTTACACTTAAAAAAATTTATTTGATTCAAATATTCGATATCAAAATAAATATTTACTTGAACCAAATAATTTTTATTTAAGGCTAATTAAATAGTTTTTTTTTTTTTTATTCAAATACAGAAATTATTGATTCAAATACAAATTTATTTAATACAAATAAAAATTATTTGGTTCAAGTAAATATTTATTTGATAATATTCAAGTAGCCGATTATTTGATTATTTTTCTCAGTGTGTTATTAAATAATTATTTCTTTGGTTTAAAGATACTTTTTTTCGTTATTAAACAAAAAATTTTAATTACTTTTTTTTTGTTAATAAATAATTTCTCTGGTTCAAAGATAAATTTTTTTTTACTAAATAATAAGTTCTTTGGTTCAAAGATACATTTTTTTCTTTACTAAAAAATCCAAATTACATTTTTTCGTTATTAAATAAAAAAGATACTTTTTTTGATATTCCAAAAATTTTTTTACAAACAAAAAAAAATTGTACTTTATTCAAAAATCCCTTTATTTCTACTAAATTTCTTTAGTTCAAAGATAATTTCATTCAAAAAATGTCTGATTTAAAAATAATTTTTTTTTAAGGTACCTTTACATAAAAAACAAAAAATTTTATTAAAAAAAAAAATACATTCTGAACAAAATATTAAATAAATAAAATAAAAAAATCATTTTGTCAACAATGAATTAAAAAAAAAGAAAGATTTTTCTCATCTCAGTGATTAATTCCAAAAAAAAATCGATTATTAATATTCCTTTTGTGACGATTGCGACTCGATGACGCCGACAAAATGTTGATTTTTATCAAAACATTACGATTCGTTTATAATTTGTATGTATACACAATATGTTAATTTTGTTTGATTACAAAACTTTTGTAATCCGCGTGCTTAACAAAATGCGCACATCTTTGAGACTATATATAAAAAGAAAAAAAAAAAGAAGAGAATTGAAAAAGGAAAGAAAATATAATGAAAATTACAAAAATAATCTATTAGATCGAATTTTTTTTTTTTTTTTTTCGCCTTTCTGGTGCCAAGCACTTAGTCAAAACTTGCATGGGGGAAAGTGGCGAAACATGCAGTCGGCAAAACGTGTCTTGCATTCACGAAATTGTCGCGTCTCGGAAACGAATTTTTGGCGCGAGCCAATTGCCCCTTTCGTTATATGCCTCATTGATTTTTTTTTCCATTGCACATTCTTGGCGCGAGGAAGGTGAATGCCTTGAGAAAAATCATCCTTGGCGATGCCTCGAGGACATATTGTATATATTATTATTATTATTATTATTATTATTATTATTATTATCAAAAATTTAAAGCAAATTTTCAAAATTTAAGTTTTTATTATTATTTTTCATTTAATTATTCATCAATTACTAATTTAAGAAATTAATAATTACTAATTATTATTTTTACTAATTTACGAATTTTTATTTAGAATTTATTGATTTACATATTATGTATTTATTGTACTAATAGCCCACTTGGAAAAATTCCCCGGAAAGTGAGGTTCTATCAGAATTCCGCCGGAAATTCCAACGTAATTCCGTCGGAATTTCATCGAAGTTCAAAAGAATTTCCGATGGGATTCCGACGGAATTCCGATTAATTTTTTTTTTCAAAATTTTAGAGTCCCAATTCCGTCGGAATCCCATCGGAAATTCTTTGAAACTCCCATGGAATTCCCCCTGGAGGTTCTATCAGAATTCCGCCGGAACTTCCAACGTAATTCCGTCGGAATTCCATCGGAGTTCCAAAGAATTTTCGATTGGGAATCCGACGGAATTCCGATTAATTTTTTTTTCAAAATTTTAAAGTCCCAATTCCGTCGGAATCCCATTGGAAATTCTTTGGAACTCCCATGGAATTCCCCCTGGAGGTTCCATCAGAATTCCGCCGGAACTTCCAACGTAATTCCATCGGAATTCCATCGGAGTTCCAAAGAATTTCTCATGGGATTCCGACGAATTTCCGACGGAATTAGGACTCTAAAATTTTGAAAAAAAAATTAATCGGAATTCCGTCGGATTCCCATCGGAAATTTTTTGGAACTCCGATGAAATTCCGACGGAATTACGTTTGAAGTTCCGGCGGAATTCTGATAGAACCTCCAGGGCGAATTCCATCGGAGTTCCAAAGAATTTCCGATGGGATTCCGACGGAATTAGGACTCTAAAATTTTGAAGAAAAAAAATTAATCGGAATTCCGTCGGAATCCCATCGGAAATTCTTTGGAATTCCGATGGAATTCCGAAGGAATTACGTTGGAAGTTCCGGCGGAATTTTGATAGAACCTCCAGGGGGCACTTTCTGGGGAATCTTTCCAAGTGGGGAGAAAATAGAAAAAATGACAAATTCGTAAATTTGATAAATATGCAAATTAGTAATCTAATAAATAATTTGTAATTTTGAGAATAAAAAAAGGAAATTTTTTTTTTTAAATCCAGATTTAAATTTTTGAGTCCTTGGGAGGGAATTCTTTTTTTTTTTTGTTTCAATCGTGAAATAATTTTCGTGCATGGAATTCCGACTACATGTAAGGCGAACGTGCACAAATGCCCGGGCTCTTGGAAGTTGGGATTGGAATATAATCACCTTTCAAATAGAGAAGTGAGGGACGGTCATCATTGTCATGGGGTTTGAATTTTAATAAGATTTCAATGAAAGGTATTTCTCGATATACACAATCTCGCACTTGTCATCGAAATTCATTCATAAAATCTTATAGTTGGAATTATAGTCTTGGCAAAATTCATCCCAAAAAAAAAATTATTACAAAATAATAATAATAATAATAATAATAATAATAATAATAATAATAATAATAATAATAATAATAATAATAATTTATTTATTCAAATAAATTTTTTTTTTAATAAACAATTAAGAAATTTTATTATATAAAAAATGGATTTTTGAATAAAATAAATTTTTTTCAATAACAATAAAAAAAATTTTATTATATAAAAAAAGGATTTTTGAATTAAATAAATTTTTTTATCAATATCCAAAAAAAGTATCTTTGAAGAAATTAAATTTTTGTATAATAACAAAAAAAAGTGTCTTTAAAGTAAATAAATTTTTGTTTAATATTACAAAAAAAATTTTAATACAAATTAAATTAATTTTTTTCTTCAATTAATTTAATTTGTGGTATTTTTTTTAAGGATGAACGAGGTCGTTTGATGAGGAGGAACATCGTTAGATATGCTGTTCTCGCCTATGTCATAACATTGCAGAGGATCTCATTACGTGTTAAAAGACGTTTTCCCACTCTTCAACATATAGTCGACGTTGGTCAGTGAGTTACATTTTCTACATTAATTTTTGTTCATTTTTTTTTTTACTATAGCCAATTAAATTAATTAGTTGCAAAATTAATTTACAAAATTAACAATGATTAATCAAAATTTATAAAAAATTAATTAATAAAAATTTAATTATTGAATAAAAATTAATTTTATTAATTATAAATATATTATATTATATTATTATATTGTTAATATAATATAATAAAATTAATATTAGTTAACTAGTTAATATAAATAATAGTAACTGTAACTAGTTACATTTAACTATTATATTATTTTTTTTTATAATTATATAATATAATTAATAAAACAATAATTAAGTATTGAAAATTAATTTTTTTATTAATTAATTATTTAATAAAAAAAATTACTACAAAGCTTCCTCAATGAGGAAACAAAAGTTGTTTATTCAATAAAAATTAAATTTGATAATTTTAATAAAAATAACAAAAAATTGATTAAAAATTAAAATTTTAAATATTTTTTTAAAAAAATAATTTTTTAAAATAATTTTTCTCGAAAAAAGAATTTTTGAATATATGCTAAAATTATCATCATATGGTGAACGTGATCATCATTATCCATCATTATCATTAAATATTGTTGGGAGCCTTGATTCATACTTTCTCTGTATATCAGGGAAAGTTTAATCAGGCATCGATCTATGATACAAAATGCATTGTAACAATCAAGAGTGTTGAGTGAAATTCAGAGCTCATTCAAAAAAAAAAAAAAAAAAACTTTTTCATCAGAATCAGCGAAAGTTTTCTATTGGCACTTGTCGATACATAACTCACGAGAATTGCATTCTGTAGTAGGATTATTTTTTTTTTTTCTCTCTTTATAATCTTTTACATAATATTTTTTTTTTTTTCCCAACTCAATTTAATTTTATTTAATTTTTTCTTTGCTCTGAATTTTATTTTAATTTATAATAATAATAATAATTTTCATAATTTTTTTCAACAAATTTTTTTTTTTTTTTAAATTTGAGAAGAACAATATATTCTTTATTTACAATAATTTTTTTTTTCCTACAAAAATCAAAACGATTGTTTTCGATTCAGAGAAAAAAAAAAATTGTAATGATGATCCTTTCCACGTGAACATAATATTAGCAATTATTATTATGATTGATAATTACATCTTAGTTTCCTACAAAAACAAAACATATATAAGACTGTAGAGGATCTGGTTTTATCACCTTTAGACTCTCTCTATTAATCATTAGAAATAAGAAAAATGAATAAAAAAAATAAATAAATAATAAATAAAAATAATAAATCGCGACAAAGTTTTCAAATTTATAATTTTGATTTTTTTTCAAAAATTTCAATGTAAAATTAAAAAAAAAAAATGATTTACTCTAAAATTAAGAATATATCCTCGAAAATTGGATATAAATATTCTTAAATCAAAAATAATTATTAATTATTCTAATTAGTAGAATTAATATTAATAATTTATTTTATTAATTATTAAATTATTTCTAATTAATAATTTATTTATTTATTATTAATAATTAATATTCTCATTATAAGAATAACTTTTTATTTTAAGAATATTCTCATTACAAGAATATATTTTTATTTTAAGAATACTCTCACTACAAGAATATCCTTTTATTTTAAAAATATTCTCATTACAAGAATATATTTTTATTTTAAGAATACTCTCATTACAAGAATATCCTTTTTATTTTAAAAATATAATTCTAATTTCAAAAATATTTTTTATTTTTATTTCAAAATAGTTGCAAAATAATTTACATTTAATTTTAGAATAATTTATTTTGTCAACAATATACTCTTAATTTTAGAATAAATTTCTTATTACCTTTATACCCTTGTAATTTTCTAGAATAAATTTCTATTTACCCAAAGATCCTCTTAATTTTAGAATAAAATTTTCAATTTTCCAATAAATAAATAAAAAAATAATAAATAATAAACTAACAATAAGGAATCAATAGAAGGAAAAGAAATATTAAAAAAAAATAATATTCTCTCTTCTAAGAAAAAAATACAATTACTCAATAAAATTGAAGACGAAAAAAAAAAATTAATTACAACCAATAAAAACCATCAGTTAATTTCATCGATGAACCGTTAGTACATATATATATATATATAAACGTACGTGCAACATTTCACTTGTTAATTATCGCATTAGATATACGCGAGAATCTAAAAATAGAGAGAAATAGAGAAAATAAAATAAATCGAGAATTGAATATAAAAAAAAATTATACTCGGTGAAAGATATACATATGTGATCGGAAATTGCAACTAATTGCTGACCCGCAATAATATCCAAGTCGTGATGGTTGATAATTTTCTCGCACGTCCGGGTAATTTTCAACTCGAGATAAAAAAAAAGAGAGAAGAGACGAGCATCGAGAAAACATGGCAAAAGGCGCCGGCGCCAGAGCCTCGTCATTTTCCTTTTCCTCGTCTCGAATCAAATGAACAAACTATATATATAAACCGACAAGTTAAAGTTTAGTTAAATTAAAATTTGGTTAAATCAAAATTCGGATAAGTTAAAATTCAGCTAAATAATTATTCTAATAAGTTAAAGTTTAGTTAAATTAAAATTTGGGTTAATTAAAATTCGGCTAAATAAAAATTACGAACGGTTAAAATTCGGCTAAATAAAAATTCCAAGGTATTAAAATTCGGTTAAATCAAAAAAAAAATATATATATACATACGGGAGATTTTTTTTATATAAACAAATTTTTTTTTTTATATAATTTTTAGATATCAAATTTTTATTTTATAGAATTTATTTTCACTCTAATATCTATTTAACCGAATTTTAAATGAATTTAATTTTAACTGAGCCAAATTTTAACTTAACCAAATTTTAACTAATCCAAATTATCGATTTAATCAAATTTTAACTAAACCGAATTTTAAATTATCCAAATTTTAAGTTAACCGAATTTTAATACATCGGAATTTTTTTATTTAGCCGAATTTTAATTTAACTGAACTTTAACATGTTGGTATTTTTATTTAATTGAATTTTAGCTGAACGAAGTTTTGATTTAACCAAATTTTAATACCTCGGAATTTTTATTTAGCCGAATTTTAATTAAAATCGAATTTTAAGTTAACCGAATTTTAACCGTTCGTAATTTTTATTATTTAGCCGAATTTTAATTAACTCAAATTTTAATTTAACTAAACTTTAACTTATCAGAATAATTATTTAGTCGAATTTTAACTTATCAGAATTTTAATTTAACCAAATTTTTATTTGTCCGAATTTTAATTAAACTAAATTTTAATTTAACTAAACTTTAACTTGTCGGTTTTTTTTTATTTAACTGAATCTTAGGTGAACAAAATTTTGATTTAACCAAATTTTAACTTATCAGAATAATTATTTAGCCGAATTTTAACTTATCCAAATTTTGATTTAACCAAATTTTTTATTAAACCAAATTTTTATTTTAACACATCGGAATATTTATTTAGCCGAATTTTAATTTAACTGAATTTCAAGTTATCGGAATTTTGATTTAGCCAAATTTTAATTAAACCATATTTGAACTTAATCGAAATTTTAATTTAACCAAATTTTAACACATTGGAATTTTTATTTAGCCGAATTTTGATTTATCCGAATTTTAACACAGCCAAATTTTGATTTAACCGAATTATTAATATAACCAAATTTTAATATTATAATAATTCAATTAAATGAAAGAAAAATTTTTTCAAAATCAAATTAGAAAGTATATTAGCTGAAAAAGAAATTTTTTTCTTTGAATATTTTATACAAAAAGAATGTCGATCTCAGAAATAATTTGACTGTTTCTGTATCGCGGTCAAAGCCCGACCTTCAGCAAGGCCGAGGATTTTGCCACATACACGCATATACTTAGTTTTTGGGCGTAATCTCGAGATGCTGAGGACCACCTAGAGATTTTCAGCACATATATATACATATAAATATATATATATATATATACCTATAGGTATAGTTTTCAGAGAGAATAAAAGCTAACGGGTTCACGGCTCATGCGACCCAGAAATTGTAATAACTGTTCTCAACACACTTTGGAAGTGACTTTTATAATGTATACATAACACTTCCAATCGACTCGAAAAGAAGAAAAAGAAAAAAAAAATCTTCACATTTTGCACGAATCTCCGCATTTATAATAATATAACAGGAGTCAACTGAGAATTGATTTTAGACAAGAAAAGAAAAAAAAAGAGAGAAAAAAACGACACGTGCTGGCATGTCATTTTTTAAAATTTCATTCAATTTAAAAAATTATTAATTAACTTTCTGAATTTTTATTAATTTATTTATTAATTTAATAATTTAATAGTAATTTATAATAACAATGAATAATAATAATTACTATTATTAATATTAATAATTAATAATAATAATAATAATAAATAATTTATAACTAACAATTATTTTTTTTAATTTAATAAGAAAATTTTTCCTCTTAATATAAAATTAATTTTTCCTGACATTAATTAATAATAATTAATGTTAATTCCTAATTAACAAAAAAATTATTTCTTCTTTGTGAATATATTTCTTCTTTTTTGCACAAATGAAAAAAAAAATCCTCTCAATTCGATGGTAATCCTGTGTATAGTGCATCCAGAGAAATATTTTATTTGAACCAAATATAATATATTTCAGTTAAATAACCCATAGACAGCACGTAAGCTTGCAACAACCTTGCGGCAAGCTTGCCACACAATATTGCCAACTTTGCACGACAAGCTTGTCGCAAGCCAAATAACCTTGCCAATCAGCACAGAAGATTGTAGCAAGCTTGCCATACAAATTTACTATGCAAGCTTGCGATAATCTTATCATGCAATCTTGCAGTAACCTTACACTGCAATCTTTCGGTAAGCTTACCATGCAATCTTGTGATAATCTTACTGTGCAATATTGCAGTATCCTTACACTGCGATCTTTCGGCAAGCTTACCATGCAAGGTTG